GCTTTCTTGTGCATCATCTTTAGAAGAGGCTTCCTTCTGGGACGACAGCCATGCAGACCAATTTGATGCAGTGTGTGGCGTATGGTCTGAGCACAGGCTGACCCCCCACCCCTTCAACCGCTGCAGCAATGCTGGCAGCACTCATACGTCTATTTCCCAAACACAACCTCTGGATATGACGCTGAGCACGTGCACTCAACTTCTTTGGTCAACCACGGCGAGGCCTGTTCTGAGTGGAACCTGTTAAACCGCTGTATGGTCTTGGCCACCATGCTGCAGCTCAGTTTCAGGGTCTTGGCAATCTTCTTATAGCCTACGCCATCTTTATGTAGAGCAACAATTATTTATTTTTTCAGATCCTCAGAGAGTTCTTTGCCATGAGGTGCCATGTTGAACTTCCAGTGACCAGTATGAGAGAGTGAGAACGATAACACCAAATTTAACACACCTGCTCCCCATTCACACCTGAGACCTTGTAACACAAGAGGCTAATTGGGCCCAATTTCGACATTTTCACTTAGGGGTGTACTCACTTTTGTGGCCAGCGGTTTAGACATTAATGGCTGTGTGTTGAGTTAATTTGAGGGGACAGCAAATTTACACTGTTATACAAGCTGTACACTCACTACTTTACATTGTAGTAAAGTGCCATTTCTTCAGTGTTGTCACATGCAAAGATATGATAAAATATTTACAAAAATGTGAGGGGCGTTCTCACTTCTGTGAGATGCAGAGTATATATATATATATATATATATATATATATATATATACACACACACACACACACACACACACACACATACATACATACATGCATACATACATACTAGGGATGGGAAGATTCCCCCGATTCGCTCAGTGCATCGGCATAAAAAGTTAACAATGCGATGCATCGATTTAAAAAGTGTGCATCGGTTACAAGTTGGCATTTGTATAGCGATGCATCGTTTCTAACATATTTGTATCGGTAAAAACCGATTCATGGCTACACGTTGGTATTTATATTGCGATGCATCATTTCTAACATATTTGCATCGGTAAAAACCGATTCATTTATATATAATTACTAGTGGATGTGCTATACTTTTATTATTTAGAAAGTGACCAATAATCTGTGACCAATATTTTATATGTAGATTGATTTCTCTCTAAACTGTTTCTCAAGCGCGTTGTCTCATCACTGCTGCTGCGTGAATATGACGTATCAAAACACAACTGGGATTAAAGTCCAAAAGCTGACTTGAAATAACCTAACAAATCAATCGGGGCTAAAGCTGTTCCATTAACGGTAAATTAAATTCACACAAACTCACTAATTTGAGTGAGTGAGTGACGTGACATGTGCACACACACAGCAGTGAACACACACCCAGAGCAGTGGGCAGCCATTTATGGTGCTGCGCCCGGGGAGCAGTCGGGGTTCGGTTCGGCCTTGCTCAAGGGCACCTCAGTCGTGGTATTGAAGGGGGAAGAGAGTGCTGTACATTCCTGCCGGACCTGAGACTCGAACTCGCACCTTTTGGGTTACGAGTCCGACTCTCTAACCATTAGGCCACGACTTGTGCACGCTTATTCTTATGCAGACCTTAATGTCGATCATGGATCAAATCGATCCACCATGACAAACAGCAAATATATCTGTGTTGTTTAATGCATTTGAGACGTTGTATTTTCCTCAGTGCATAACTGACATGTCACAAGTATATTTTTCATCTGTAAATGTTAGAAAGTCATGCAAATATATCCATTTTGCTGTCAGGGGTGGGCGAGGCTTACGCGAGTGAACGAGCACTGCTGCGCGCATGCGTATCAAATGTAAGCTAGTAGGCTACAGTACTAATTACTAAGCTCAAATGAGTTAATGTGGGTTTCTTACAGCAGTTAAAATGTAGTCATTTTCTTTTATTATTTATTTTCATTTTTAATTCAGTGATTTTAACTTTTAATTTAGTTATTTTAATGCTTTAAAGAGCAATTTTAGATTGTAATATTCTAATGTTCTGCTATCTGTTCTGCAAACTATAAAAGGTACAGCTGTAATAAAACCAGAGAGAAAGGCTGCATGGCTAGAAAAGAAAAAAAAGTCAAATAATAGTATGTAATAACAATAGTAATAGTAATAGTATAAACTGAGACAGTTGTAATATCATTATGTTCCTATTGGTCAGTAGATGAGCTTAGCTTAGCCTGACAGTTAAACTGCTTTAGACCAGGTTAGTTTCCCAGCATAAGTTGCCACAGTGACTAAGCTTGATCTAAGCCTATGTTAAATTTGCTTAATGGAACCAAATCATTTGACAATGAGTCAGACTAACTGAAACAAGCCTGGCTTATCTGGTTAACTTGTTTTATGAAACAGGCCTCAAGGCATGAAAAGGCCTCCATTGCATCGAATTGCATCGAATCGCATTGTGTTGAATCGAATCGAATCGAAATCGGATCGCACTGCATCGTAATAGGGGTGAATCATATCGCATCGGTAGCTGCTTCATATGTATCTTTAATGTATCGTATCGTTGGCTATGCATCGAGATGTGTATCGTATCGGCCTGAGTCATGAGATGCACATCCCTAATACACACTCACACACACACACACACATAATACACTAATTAAAAATGTGATTAATAAAACTATATAGACAAAGAATAGCCTAATGACAAACACAAGAGTTACTAAAATTTTAACATTGAAATAAACAGAAAATATAAAAAAATATTTTAAAATATAATAAAATACTATAATGGTAACTGAAATAAACATTAATAAAACTATATAGGCATATTTAAAAAAAAAAAATAATAATTTAACTTAGATTAAAATTAAAACAGGAAATATAAAAATAAAATGAATCCAAAATATTAATTAAAACTAGAATAGTATCTCAATAATACTAAAATAATACTGATTACTGCTTTTACTTTGGATTAAGTATATGAACAAACCCCTAAGCCTAATTGTTATACTTTAGTATTGTAAAAATCTAGTTTCTAACATTAAAGTTTGAACACGTTCAACAATGTTGTAGGTACTTTACCAGCACTGCCAGCTCGATCATCTCCGATGAAGAGTGCAGTAATTTGTTATGATTTCTGCAAAGACACTCAGATGTCAACTGTGTGGAAAAATAATAAATCTGCAGAATATTTTATGTGATGAGACCAGAACACACTTGAGCCTGTGCAGAACGAGGCAGGAATCTAAACCAGCTGCTGCAATCATTGAGAGATATTTAAAAACATCATGCAATTTAATCACTTTAGTCTGCTCTGATGACATTCAATTAACTCTCGTCAGATGTTTTGGTTAGTCTGGAGCAAGTTCATTTGGACTGTGCATTTTCAGTCTGTCTTGAGTGGCCTCTTTACATTGAATCATCACAAACTACCGGGAAAAATACAAGAGTGGAAAGATAAATGTTTTCTACTCTTGTTCTACTCTCACAATCTTTTCAGGGTTTCTCAAACTTTTTTGAAGGACCTATTTCACATAACCTCTGCTGTTATGTCGCTTTTAAATTCCTTTTCTTTTTCTAATGAAAATGCATTATACATTACTGGTTATCTAAACATTCTAAAAGCAAGATTTTTTAATAAATCTTAAAATAAAAAATCTAAAAAATAAGCTCTGATAGTTTACTGCCACCGTTCTGCAATGATTAAGTATTAACATGACCATCAAGATGCATTAGCAGTTTCACTACAAATGTGACATGACCAAATGCATCACTGCCTACCTGCGTAGGTAGTTTGAGTGATCAAATCCAAATGTTTCTTCAAGATGAATCTTACCCGGATTTATATTTAGCATGTAAAAAGGGGCTATTGTACCATTGCAAGATACTTAACCACAACTGAAATTAATGTGCCGTAGGCCACTTTTGGTAAAAATGCATGTCATGTTACTGGAGTTTAGTACATTGTGATTTGCTTGGAAAAAGCCAAATTATGGAGCAGATAAACAATGACTCAGTGCATGAGGGAGAATAAGATATAGGAGTGTAGTTTGTTCACAGAACAACATGACCTCCTATTTTACAGCTCCATCTCTTGGTCTCCATGGATACTTTCTCCTTCTTTCCTCTAGGGAATAATGAGACATTATCTCAAAGTGCTTCAAACCATCCCTTCATCATGTTTTAAGCAAGTTCCTCACAGTACGCTTAGTGGTTTATTTGCTGACGTTACGGACAGTCCTGCAACCTTCACTCTACAATTTTCATAATAAATTGTTGATGGAGTAAATAATTTGATGTGAATGTGTATGTGTTGGGATGTTCACATATTACCTTTAGTTTGTAGACATCTGTGTGGGATTGATCTTTATATTCTGCTCCTGTTCAGTTTCATCCTGCAACACTCATAATCCTAATTATTTCCTGTTTGATAAAAAAAAATTTTTTTCCCACAATTGGACTGGGGAAAAAATCATTCACTCCTCCCTTCAAATTCATTAAAGAGACCATGAAAAAAAATACGACCTCCATTGTCCCAAAAGAGTTGAATTGTTTAATATAGTAATATTCAGGCATAGCATTTCCATAGTTAAAGTTTCAGTGAGAAAGAAAAACAGAATCTCTAAAAAATACAAATCTAGAGGTTGATGCTGCCTTTCATTAAGGGACATGCTCATGACACAGTAAACGCATACAAACTCAAGGATCCCAAAACAACCAAGACCTGACACAACAGTGTTTCCACTACTCTCAAACTCTCTGCCGCCCTCGTCTGGTTAAATGAGTGTATTACAGAAGTAAACAGTCTCTGGATTGTGTGTGATATATGGAAACATTGGTCAAAAAGAAAATGGAGACAAAAAGACAGGATAAGGGAGAATTCGGTGAGCCATTTTACTTGGGTCAGTACCATGAAACTGTACTCTGCTAGTCAACAAGCTCCCATAGAGCGCTGCAGTGATGTGTTTTTGAAGGCCGGCAACCCATAAGTTGGCATCACCCTGGTTCCTTCCACAAAAACCCAGTATGATTTTTGTCATTAGCTTTTGGATAATTGCAGAAAATAAGCTCTGTGGCCAACAAAAGTTTATGATTTTTACACATTTTGTTCATTTTGATAATCTAACAAATTATATGAATTTTGAAGCCTAAATATAATCACTAGAAGTAAACAGCTAAATGTAGGCTATGAATGAACTACACCACTACAGTTTACAGTAGCTATTTCAGTCATTATTTAAAAACTTTCCCCCTGAAAGTTTCATTTGGAATTGTTTGCAAGAGCACAATTATAAATGGAATGAGGCTGTGCAAGCGACTTGTGAGTGGATGAGTTTAAACATCACGCTGAACAGGTAACATCCCCAACAACCTCTGTAGTCCCATTTAGACACCTGTTAACAACTGCCCTTTTCAAGACAAGAGGGTATTATTGATGCACTTTATGTTGTAAGATAAAGTGTGAAAATATGTTGAGCTTGTGTTAACCCCAGACCTTATTTTAGACATTTAACCAAAAACTTCACAATGATGGAACCAGAAGTGCTAAAATGTGCACTGGCCTACACAAATTGGTCATCCCTGCAGCACTCCATTCACAAGATTAATGACTTCATTAGCATCTGGTTCTAAGGATAATGTCATGAATGAGGCTGACTGACCATTTGAAAATCCTGCCTCATTGCAAACAGGGCAACAAAACATCTTGGCCGCCAGCTTTCAGAGCTTCACATTATGCGGTATTCTTGAATCTCTTCACGTATGATGTACCTCCTACAGTCAGATGGAGTCATTTCCTCAAGGTCTAATCACTCTTATGGGCCCAGTACACTTACTCTATTTATGGTTTCATGTTGAACAAACCCATGTACCATTGGCAGGAAGCCTCTGAGGAAGTGTCAGTCTTCACACCAAGCAGCCTTGATGGGGACTAGGATGCAAAAACCACATCTCCCATACCTAGCAGCGTCAGTATGCACACTCGTGTCCTAGCAGAAGTCAGAGACATAGTCAAAGTCCCTGAAGTAGTCCTGGTCTTTCCGCGATAGGGTCCGGCGTTCACGAGGAGGCGTCAAGGTCGGCGCTTCGTTCGTAAACTCAGCATCAAAGTTACTGACATCTTCCTTTCCCTTCACTGCAGGAACGAAAGGAGGAGGAACTCTCCTCTGCAAAAGCGCATCCCAGTCTATATTCTACAGAGCGAGAGAAGATGATTGAGTCACATCATCACTAAGATTGTAACTTTGGCATTATTGTACGGAGTCCCTAAAAGGACATGGCAATGAAACAAAATATGAGATGTGAAGAAAAATGCAGATGTTTTCTCAGAGTGCAATACTTTTGTGAGAGTATGCCAAAGTTTCTTGGGGGAATGCAATACTTTTGTGAGAAAATGCAAAGTTTCTGAGGGGAAGCAATACTTTTGTTAGAGAATGTAAAGTTTCTTGGGGGAACGCAATACTTTTGTAAGAAAATGTAACTTTTCCTGTGGGAATGCAATACTTTTGTGAGAAAATGTAAAGTTTCTTGGGGGAACGCCAGCGAAGGATCGCACGCAACTTTTTTTGAACAAATGCAAATGATTTGAGCGAGTGCACCTTTTTTTAACAACCAAAAAATGGCTGTTTCGTGGTCTGTTGAGGAAGTACAGACGTTCCTCTCCTTGATAGCAGAGGAGCGGATCTAGCAACCGCTTGATGGGGCAATGTGTATAATCCCGCCCACTCTAAAGCGGTACTAAACTGAAGAGGAAACGTAAACAGAGCTGTGCTGAGCCATACTGTGGAGTGGAAAGCACCAAAAGTTTCTCTGTGTAACATAAACATTTTGCAAGGGAACACAAAAGTATTGAAATACAATATTTCTTCCCATCTCATTTTTTTTATCATACCCCCATCTATTTAGGGACTCAGTATTATTGTGGCAAGTAAAGTCTACATACTCTAAAGAAGGGTTGTTTCTTGATGTCCTCTGCGTCTCTCTCACTGGAGCCCAGTCGTTTCTCAGGATTACGCCTCAGCAGCTAATAATGAAAAACAAGGAAATGCCTTTCAGTTAGCAAACACAGCTAATCAGAGAACAGCTTTGGGAAAAAATAAGAGTCTTACCCGTCTCATGATACCAATGGCCTCGGTGGAGAGGAATCTTGGGTAACGTACTTCATCATTTACTATGCTGTCGAACACCTCCTCCTCATCGTCACCTGGGAACGGTGACTGGGCAGACACAGATTATGCATCAGAAATTTTTATCAGATTATTCCTCAGAAAATAAGACTTTGTATTTTAACACTTTGAATCTGCAAAGGTATGTTGATTTAAGAATGTTTAGATGTTTGTACAGGAAAACAAACAAAATACTGAAAAAAAAATCTTCTGAACTTCAGTAGATTTTGTAAGATTTATGATTCAATCAAGAAAAAAAGAACACTGGAAAACAATATAATAAAATATTGCACAAACACACACCTCTCCAACCAGCATCTCATAAATAAGCACACCAAGACCCCACCAGTCCACAGCTCTGGTGTAGGACGTGTCTGTTAGAATCTCAGGAGCAAGAAACTCTGGAGTCCCACAAAATGTACTGGTTCTGTCGCCATGACCCATTCCTACAGGACAGAAGATAAAAGCAAGACATTGAAAAAAACAGAAAGAAGGAGCAAAAAGGAGATTACGTGCATCTTTTTTGCAGTATGTGAAAGCCCTCCGGTTCTAACCGACCAGCTCACTCAGAGTGTTTCTAGCATGAGAGGCGGACATGCTAACTAGGACGCTAAAGGCCTCAGCCTCTAGGGCAGGGGTTCTCAAAGTCTACATTCAAAGGTCCAAATCTGAATTTTCATCAGTGTCAAAGGTCTGGACCAGAACAATTGGTTATTACAAAACTTGTTTTTAATAAACATACATAACATGCATAACAAATAAACATTAATAAAAAAGAACAATAAAGTGCAAAAGTGGCAAAACAATTAATTTAAGTGTCAGCAATAGAGGTCGACCGATAAGGGGTTTTCTCTGGCCGATGCAGATATTTAGAAATCAGTTCAGCCGATGGCCAATATGCTGATTTTTTGGGGCCGATATGTTTGGCCGATTTATTTTTCTGTATCTCATAAAAGCGAGTTTGAGTAAATGATTATTGCAGGGCACAAGATGGGAAATTTTTATCAGATTATTCCTCAGAAAATAAGACTTTGTATTTTAACACTTTGAATCTGCAAAGGTATGTTGATTTAAGAATGTTTAGATGTTTGTACAGGAAAACAAACAAAATACTGAAAAAAAAATCTTCTGAACTTCAGTAGATTTTGTAAGATTTATGATTCAATCAAGAAAAAAAGAACACTGGAAAACAATATAATAAAATATTGCACAAACACACACCTCTCCAACCAGCATCTCATAAATAAGCACACCAAGACCCCACCAGTCCACAGCTCTGGTGTAGGACGTGTCTGTTAGAATCTCAGGAGCAAGAAACTCTGGAGTCCCACAAAATGTACTGGTTCTGTCGCCATGACCCATTCCTACAGGACAGAAGATAAAAGCAAGACATTGAAAAAAACAGAAAGAAGGAGCAAAAAGGAGATTACGTGCATCTTTTTTGCAGTATGTGAAAGCCCTCCGGTTCTAACCGACCAGCTCACTCAGAGTGTTTCTAGCATGAGAGGCGGACATGCTAACTAGGACGCTAAAGGCCTCAGCCTCTAGGGCAGGGGTTCTCAAAGTCTACATTCAAAGGTCCAAATCTGAATTTTCATCAGTGTCAAAGGTCTGGACCAGAACAATTGGTTATTACAAAACTTGTTTTTAATAAACATACATAACATGCATAACAAATAAACATTAATAAAAAAGAACAATAAAGTGCAAAAGTGGCAAAACAATTAATTTAAGTGTCAGCAATAGAGGTCGACCGATAAGGGGTTTTCTCTGGCCGATGCAGATATTTAGAAATCAGTTCAGCCGATGGCCAATATGCTGATTTTTTGGGGCCGATATGTTTGGCCGATTTATTTTTCTGTATCTCATAAAAGCGAGTTTGAGTAAATGATTATTGCAGGGCACAAGATGGTAATAGTAGTAGTAGTAGTAGCCTAATTCATAGTAATAATACATGGCTCAAAGCACCTTCTCAAAACAGTTCTTAAGCATGCTTTTTGTTTATGTTTGCTGACAGACACCAGTGTTTCCCACAGACTTGCAAATGCAAATTCATTCTCTGCCAGCAGGAGGCGCTGTTGGAGCGGAGCTATAGCGGTTTCCCCGGTAACGGCTGTAATCAAATACAAAGGCCACAAATAACTCAATGTATGGTAAACACTGGACACTGCTATAAGTCAAATGTCCATAATCTAAGTGATAACAAAAATAAATAAATAAAAAATTACTCATATTAGCGGTGAAATGTCGTCCGATTATGTCAAACGTCACATGACTGGATGTCATGACAACAAATGTCATGAAGGAAAAGTTTCAATATCTCGCCTTCGCTTTCATTTCGGACCATCTCCAAAAAGACATTTAAAAACTAAACATATGATTTACAAGTTTAACATGCGTTTATCAAAGTAGGAAATAATTAGTGTTCTTGAAATACGAAATGGAGGCGGGTCCAGAGTGAATTCACTCCGGGACCGGATCCGGACCGGAGTCCGGACTTTGAGAAGCACTGCTCTAGGGTTAAACCGTGTCTACACCGGACACGACAGTTGGCCTCCGTTACACTCATCCCCCCTAAAACTCATTCCCATCCGGGTCACGGCACCAATGTACCCCCTCCAATTCTACTCAACCCCCTCCGAGCAGAATTTGAACTGGCATTTCTTGCATGGGAATCGGGCGTGCAAATAAACACACTAAGGAGCGCAGCCTCTAGCATCAGTTGCTAATGCGCCTCTTGAGATCAGAGGAGTGAGGTTTACCTGCACAGCTCTTAACAGCTGGCCTCTGTCACATATACAATGCAGTGCATTTGACATGACCTTCCATTTCCAGTGTGATAAATTAAGTTTTATTTTAAATAAACTGGTGATTTTTAGCCTTTTGTCTCAAAATAACTGTTTTTATATCTGACCATTAGTTTTAAACTTTCTATTCAACAAAGAATCCTGAAAAATTAAATGCATAACATTATCCACAAAAATATGAAGCAGCACAACTGTTTTCAACATCAAATAATCAGAAATGTTTCTTGAGCCGCAAATCAGCATATTAGAATAATTTCTGAAGGATCATGTGACACTGAAGACTGGAGTAATGATGCTGAAAATTTAGCTTTGCATCACAGGATTTTTGCAAATACATTTTAACATATATTCACATAGAAAACAGTTATTTCAAATTGTAATAATATTTCACAATATTGCTGTGTTTACTGCTTTTTTTTTTGGTCAAATAAATGCAGCTTTTGTGAGCATAAGAGACTTCTTTTAAAAACATTTTAAAAATCATACCGACCTTAAAGCCTGAATGGTAAAGTTATTAAAAATAGTATGCCATTAGCAGCACATCCGGTCATTCACTCTGATCTAGCAGTGAACAAACATCATGTTCTTTCTCCATCAGCTCCATCAATATCATTACAGAAGGTACAGTCTGTGACTCACCCTCTTTACAAAGACCAAAGTCTGCGATCTTCACATAACCTTCAGTATCCAGCAGCAGGTTATCCAGCTTCAGATCTCTGACAAACACACAGCCACAGATGCAAGAATTAACTATAACTTTTACTAACTCGAGTTCATGAAAACAGCTGTATTTGTGTTTACTCACCGATACACAATCTTATTATCATGAAGAAACTGAAGCCCCAAAACCACACATGCAGAATAAAACCTGCATCACACATACAAACAAACACACACATATATATATATATGAAGAATACAGTAAAACACTTTATATACACGTGAATACAGGAAAAAAACATCCAAAGTGCACTACGGGAAAAAAATAAGCTTTTCATGCAATGGTCAATCATAAAATCTTTAGATACATTTTTTGGAAGTGTAATATTTAAGCATAACATTTCAGAAAACCAATAATACAAAACTATTGTGATTAGTCAACTGGGAAATATGGTGGAATCTTTTAAATTTTTCATTAGTTGAAAATTTTACCCAATTTACCTGTGATGTACAGTAACGATTACTAGTGTTGCATGTTAACTAGGTGAGATAATCACACTTACACAGAGCGTGTTTCAGAGAAGACGTCTGCGTGTATGTGCATCATCAGGTCTCCGCCGGCCGTGTACTCCATGACAAAACACACATGTTCTGGCGTCTGAAAACACGCAAACAGGTTGACCAGGAACGGATGCCGTGTGCTGTTCACCGTCTCAAAGATTCGCTTCTCGCACATCAAACTGGAAGAGAGTGGAGAGAGTTAAGCCTGAACACTAAACGGATAGCCTGTAATGTGTACTTTTGCATTTTAAGAAAAAAAATCACTTTGTGCTAGTTATATTTATGCTTAATGCAAGAAACGAAATATTTGCACGTTATTTTTACTAGGAAACAATAAAAATATCAAGCAAGCAGAAAAGTGCACAAACTGTTAAAAAAGCTATTTTTATCTCACGCTAAAATTGAATTAAGTTCCTCACCTTTCCACCTCGTCTCGTGCCACAATGTCCCCTTTCTTCAACGCTTTGATGGCATACACCTTCCCTGAGCGTTTGTATTCGGACAGCAGCACCTGGAAACACACACATATATCATGCTTAACAGACACTTGAATCTTCATTCACACCTGGCTCTTTGCAAGAAATTGTGTCTTAAATAGAGATGATAAAAAAAATTCTCTCATTGCTTTTGTTGTTAATGCAATGCAAAATTTGAGAAGCAAAACCACTGTTTTAAATTAGTTTTGTGTAGGACTTGCTAGCAGTGTAGTAATTTGTAAAACTGTATAAAAGACTAAAATCTAAATTTTAATTAGACAGGGAACTAAAAAAAAAATATATATATATATATATATATATATATATATTCTCAAAATAATATTTAAAATATTAACAAAAATACAATAATATTATTGTATAAATAATACTAAAATAACACTGCTTGCAAGACAAATTGTTCCTTAATTTTTACAGAAAAATGTGTCCAGTAAGGAAAAGAAAACTCATTTTTTCCTCAAAGATGCAAGCAGTAACAAAACTATTAAAAAACTTTTTTTTATTGAAATAAATTTTTTTTATATAAAAATATTACTAACTGAAACAAAACTCAAAAAAGTTCAAGGACTAAAATTTCTAAAACTGAAATAATACAAAAACAAAAAAAACAAATAAAAATGCTGAAAACGTAAAATTACTAAATCTTTAAATGAAAAAGAAAGCTGAAAAATCTAAAAATAAAAACAAATTAATATATTATCAAAAACACTACTGAAGTATATGAATAACACTGCTTGCTAATTTTTACTAGTCGGTAGGGATGTAACGATTAACCGCGAGCCGGTTGAAAATCGATTCAAATATGTGACGATTCAAATCGGTTGAGATGCCAAACAAATCGCGATACAATTGGAGTAGGAGTTTATATGAATGTATCTCTGAGGGGAACTGACTGTCTTTAGAAAAGTTTAGATGGTATTTTCTTTTCATCTTGCTTCTGAACGATGCGAATTAAAGTAGTGTTCATTAGTGCAGCTCTGCTTTGTTTACAGCGGAAACCCAGGAAACACGATCATTGCTATTCATAAGTGCCACCTGCTGGCAGAGAGTGCATCTGCGTCTCATTCAGCTCGTCTGCGGTTTTCGTTCAGATATGTTTATGTAGTATAGTTTCACAAAACTAAAGTCAGACCATTCTGTTGTTCCTTCAAATTTCAAAATTATACAGTCTAATTTAGATTAAAAACTGCTCATGTTTCATGTATGCAGCATCTTTGTTTGGATCATGATTAAAATGCAGTGGTTGCCTCTAATTTTAAATGGAAAGAGCACAGACAAAGCCTTAGTTTGTTCATATTCGGATATTTATTTTATTTGTGTAACTTGCTTATTTGATTTGGGGTTTGTTTTAAAATTTCAATTTATTCTTGTTATATTTCAATTTCACAAAGAAACGTGCAGCAATAGCCTAATAAAAGGACACCTTCTCTTTCACTGTATAATGCCTTCAATTTCATTTTGTTAAAAAAAATCGCGAGATAATCGAATCGTGAGTTGAGTGAATTGTTACATCCCTACTAGTCAGTTTGTCCAGAAAAACCGTCAACTAGTCAGAAAGTGTAAAAATTGTGGTAAAATATGTTAAATGCAGAATGCCACACTCGTAGCTGAAAGCATAATCAAATTAGGCAGAATATTTAAAGCAAGCACAGGAAAAATTAAACTAAGTGTTGGTGGATGTGTAGGAATTTGTGAATTTGTGAAGTATCTGTGTTGATTCTGTCTGACTAGCTGCTTTGCTAATAGTTTTGCCACTGAACATGTTCCAGTTACCTTGCCAAAATGTCCTCGGCCCAACACTGCGATCATTTGGAAATCCTGAAGACACAGAGAGCTTTTGGACGGCCTGCACACACACACACACACACACAGAGAGAGAGAGAGAGAGAGAGAGAGAGAGGCCGGATGTAATTAAACTGAAAGGAAAGAGCTGGTGTGAGGTCAGAAACAACATCGCAGGCATCATGTACGTGTGAATGTGTGTGTGTTTGTTTCATGCCGTGTCTTGGCCTGCTCTGGAAAACATATTGTGTGCTGGTGGGATGTGTACCTGCGCTGGGAGTTATGGGAACTGGTCCTGACAGCCCTCTCCGGAGGAGCGGGATCAGGAAGAGAGACCGGCTCAGACACTGGGGCAATGTCCACCTGAGAAACAGATTATTAACATTATTAACAAATTATTAATAATTAATCATTTCCTTTTTGTTATATTCATTTATTGTTATTAGCTTAGCTTACATTATTTCATTTCCTTTATTTTGCACATATTATTTGACTTTAATTGCTAATATATTACTGGTGTTACTTTTACTTTTCCCTCATTGTCCACAGCTTAGCTGCAAATGCTTTGGCAATACAAATGTACAGTTCATGCCACTAAAACACATCGCAATTACATCCGAGAAAGAGTTTTCATTCATTGTAAATTATAAATGTATAAAATGAATAAACAAAATCAGTGCTGTTATGAGGGTTGCAATGTTATTCATTTCCATGGTGCTGCTACATTTAAAAGACAAATGGTAAAATGTCAAAAGTTGACATTTTTAAATAAAATAAATTAAATTCAAATCGTTTAAACAACTGCCTGTAAGTAAATAAATCAAATCAGTGTCGTTATCAAGTTTACAAATGTTATTGATTTCTATGATGCTGCTACACTTGAAAGACAAATTGTAAAATATCAAATTATATATTAAAGAACTGTGTTTGCATTTTAAAATAGAATAAAAAAAAAATAATGGTTTAAATAACTGCCTGTAAATAAATTATTTAACAACACTGTAAACTTCATAACAGCACTGATTTTATTTATTCCTTTGGTGCAGCTACACTTATATAGTTATAAAATATCAAATATAGTTATAAAATATCAAATTCTATATTAAATACGTTTGTTTGCATTTAAGTGAAAATAAATACAATTAAATGGTTTAAACAACTGCCTGTAAGTAAATAAATAAATAAAAATCAGTGCTGTTACGAAGTTTGTAAAACGTTATTCATTTATATGGTGCTGCAACACTCAAAAGACAGAAGATAAAGTAATTAATACATGAAATAAAGTCTCTCAGGTTTACCGTGTTTGACGTCTGCGTGTTTTTCCTCGTCACAGACGGGGGAGAGTCGTCGTCCAGCTGGATCTTCTGGATGGAAATCTCACTGCTGAGGAACGTGTGAAGTTCATGACAGCGTTCGGGATCAATGTCAGGTGATCAGGCATGTGTTTGCGGTGTGTTACAGTACCTGCTGTTGTGTGTGTTGCTGTGATGTGTGTAGCTGTGTGTGGAGGAGCTCATGGGAATGGCGTTCTTCAGCAGACGAACCCATGTCGCCATGTCCACGTTCATCTGTTTGGCGCGCAGGAACGCTTTACCTGAGCAAACAAGCATACAATAACTAACTTCATATAATTTAATATATGCTCATGCTATTTAGAAAGGTTTTTGGAGACTAAAATAGATGAGCTATATAGATAAATAGATTAAGTTTTTATCATTTTTAAGTACATTTTACATAATGTATATCTAGATTTTTGCAGCATATACATCCATATCAAACTTCATACTGATTTTGCATGGGATTCATCTTTTGTGTGTAGTGTTTTTTTCCCCCAGCATGCACTGCTAGCAGGCAGTGCATGTGATTTACCCTGCTGTTTGGAAAACACCTTCCTCTGCCGCTGTAGACGTGGACCTCGCTCTATCACAGGGTTGAAGAACATCACCTGTAACAGACATGCGTGAATACAAACCATGTTTCATTCTAGTAAAGCATGAGGCCAATATAAGAAGCTTTAAGTGCAAAAATACATTGAAAAAATGGAAATAAAGAAATGAAGATGTAATATGTAATAATAAATAATAGTATTGTAATTTTTCAGTTGTAATATAAAATAAATACTCATTAACAATGCTATTTTCATTATTTAGGTTTTATATATATAATTTTATAGCCCTAAAAACAAGCACAGCAAACCAGGAATTATTTTTAAACAGCATTTTTAAATCAATCACAATTATGTTTCATCAGAAAGTTTTTTTGCATTCAAAAATTGTATTAATTCATTGATTATTAAATAAACATTATTTTCAGTTTTGGTTCTCAGCTTAATGAAAACTTTAACTTTGACTTCGGTGTTTTATTAAAAAATGAGAGAGAGAGGATGACTACTAGTACTTTTGTCATTGTTTTGATGTAAACACCACCAAACAGCCTAAAACTCATGCAAATTGCATTTAGTACAGATTTTTCGACCATGTTTGCCCCGTTTGTGTGTATTTGTACCTCTGCGAGCAGCAGTCCCTGCGGTTCGAGCTCCAGTTGTATTCGGTGTCTCTGATTGTCCAGAAAGTCCTCCAGCTTCAGGTACTTGAGCGCGCAGAGCGAGCGATAGTCCCTCCAGTACACCGCGATCTCCATCTCTCTGGACTGAACCAGTACATCAGCTGAATATCTGAGCGTGTACTGAGAGAGAGAGAGTGTGTGTGTGTGTGTGTGTGTGTGTGTGTGTGTGTTACTCACTCTCTCCAGCTCCAGAGTGAAGGTCTGATCCCACGTCTGTTCACCAACACTCCTCCAGCACGTCTGTCCCACCACACAGTTCTCCAGCTTCAACACGGCGCTCATCTCCACTAAACACACGCGAAAAACACACCAGACGGTCACTTACTGTCGCTAAATACATCCATCAACAAAACACTCTACTTACAATACTTTAAAAGGCTTATGGAAAAATAATCATCTTTTTGTGCACTTTGGACATGAGTTTGAGGCTATGTTTGAGACACACTGAATTTCAAAACTTTAAACTAGTAAATTCAGAAGATGTATTAAAATAAAAACTGCAAAAATTACTTTATAAATATTAATATTTAGACGTCACATCTGAGAGCTCATTAACATATGACCGCCCACATCTCAAACTTTTGGAATAATTAGTTGTTGTTTTTTTAAAAGAAATCTCTTCTGCTCAAGAAGGCTGCATTAATTTGATCAAAAAAATACAGTAAAAAAGTGAAATAATATTACAACTTAAAATAACTATTTTCTGTGTGAATATATTTTCAGCATCATTACTCCAGTCTTCAGCGTCACATGATCCTTCAGAAATCATTCTAATATGATGATTTGCTGCTCAAGAAACATTTCTGATTGAAAACAGTTGAATATTTTTGTGGAAGCTGTGACATTTTATTTTTCAGGATTCATAGTTTAATGAAAATTCAAAAGAACAGCATTTATGTGAAATAGAAATCTATTGTAACATTATAAATCCCTTTACTGTCACTTTTGATTAAGTGAATGCATCCTTGGTTAATAGAAGTATTAATTTCTTTAAAAAAAAAAAACCAAACACTGGAACTGCATCTGTCCGTAGAGAATTAAACAGGACACTCACAGGACAGCTCTTCGCTCTTGCTGGGAATCTTCAGGCTGAAGCTACTGTTTCTGCTGCTCAGAGTGAGTTTGAAGGGTCGGCCGTCTCCGGGACTGAAGTGAGGCAATACCACTGGAGACGCGCGACTGCGGCCCGGGACGACCTCCAACAAGCCCACACACCCCAGCAGACGCACCTGCAGTGTCCCTGAGCGGGACAGGCACATCACACGGTCAGCATGAGGACGCCGCATTCGACATGACATTTACATTACAGTTTTTTTAGGTGATGACTCTCTAAAACGTGAAATAAAAACACAATAATATTTCACCCAAAAAAAAAAAAAAAAATTTAATCTTGCATTTAAAAACAAAACAAAACAAGAGGCCTATTTTAGGACCATTAGGAGCCCATTTTTTTTGCATTGTGAAATTTGATCCCCATTACATGAATTTTTCACCATTACGAATAATTATAATACTACCATTAAGTATAAATACTTTCATGTTTTCATCAGTATTATAGTCTGTTTTATTATAGCTATTTTTTTGCCACTGCAGTCATGAAACAGTGAATTTTTCACATTACAGTAATTACGATTGAGTAAAATGTGTTTAATTAAATAATATAAATAAAGAGCTAATTAAATATATAATAATGGTTTAATATTTTATTAATTTCTATTAATAATACAATTTATGATTAAATTAATTTCATTTATAAAAATATTTTGTAATAATATTTTATAATATATTATTATCAGTGTTTTTACCACTGCAGTCATGAATGAATTACTTCTTTACTATCATAAAGTACATTTTGTGTAGATTTGTTTTTATATAGTTTTTAAAGCAAACAATTTTTTTTCTTTCTTTTGATGTTTACAATATCCTAATATCGTAATCAACTGAGATTTTCACATTACTGTATTAGAATTAGGGTTAAAGGGGTCATATGATGCTTTTTTAAAGATCATTATTTTGTGTATTTGGTGTAACAGAATATGTTGACATGCTTTAATGTTCAAAAAACACATTATTTTTCAAATACTGTACATTATTGTAGGTCCTCTATGCCCCGCCTCTCTCAAACGCTTCGTTTTCTACAAAGCCCCTCCTTCCGACAAGTGCAGTCTGCTCTGATTGGCCAGCTGACCCAGTGCATTGTGATTGGCCGAACACCGCAAGCACTCGTCGGAAATGTAACGCCCCTTACCATAATCGCGAGCTTCATCTTTCAAAATAAATGTAAAGACAGAGCCCGAAAGGGGAACAGAGTCGTGTGACAGACACAGTGATGAAGCTGGTATGTGTTTGCAGTACACAAGCCACGGTTAAGACAACTGACTCCACAGTGATGTGACCCCCCCCCTCTCTCTCTCTCTCTCTCTCACACACACACACACACACACACACAAACACGATGCGCAAAACTCTGCATTTGAACAGTCAATAGCAAATACCAGATTGTCATAGCAAAGTCAGAATGACCTCCTCTCCTAGGTTCACGAAACGGTCGTCCATAAAATGCATTGCTGTTCTGTTGTAAGTAATCTTAAAGATTCCTAAATGCATCTACTTCCGGAAGGCCAAATAAAGTGCTTTTGCTCTCACACTGAAACACACAGCGTCTCCCTGACATGCTGCTTCAACACTAACTGAGGTTACTGAAACCACG